GTCCCGTCCCCTCAGCCCCCGGCTCCCGTCCCCTCAGCACCGCCGGGTCCCGTCCCCTCAGCCCCCGGGTCCCGTCCCCTCAGCCTCCCGGGGTCTCGTCCCCTCAGCCCGGGCACCGACCGGGGTCTGTCCCCTCAGCACCCCCGGTGGTCCCGGCTCCTCAGCCCGGGCACAAACCAGGGATCCTATCCCCTCAGCGCCAAGCACAGCGGGGCAACCATGTCACCCCCTCAGCCTGGGCACCGCCAAACGCCCCCGACGTCCCCCGGCTCCACTGGGCCTGGCTCCCGGGGTGGGACTGCCCTTTGCAGGTGTCAGGACCCCCGGCAGCGCTTTTTGGGGCTATTTCCCTTAACCCCGTGGCTTTAACACGGCAGACCCCATCGTCTCATGCCATCACCCCAGCAAGCCTGGCGCTAGAGGGTGGCTTTCCCCAGCACCCCTCAGCTCCATGAGGCTGCTGGGACTGCGGCCTCCCTCCTCTGCTCTGCAGCCCCCATTGCAGGAGCATCCGGCGGGTCCCCGGCCTCATCGGGGGGCTTCGGGGCTACACCGAGCTGGTGCAGGCAGTCCCCTCCCATCAAAGGACTGCTACGTGTCAGTGGGTAAAAAAAGAAAAAAAATTTATTGTGCAATCTGCATCTTTTGTCCCAAACTACACACATACCCTAGACAACATAAATAGAGGGACTGGACCAGCAGTGAGGTTCCCTTGTGATCGACAGCGTTGGAAGATGCTGGTTCCTCAAAGCAGGGCTACAAGCCCTTGTTTCCATCAACATATACAACGCAACATAGGTCTAGGCAGCATACACATATACATACTCATATAGATTTCTGTTTGTGGGGTTGCATTGGCCATGCACGGCCTAATCACATTATACACAGGGTGTGTTATACCTCAGCACCAACTGCCGGCTGCCCACGGGCTCTGTGCATCTCTGGCACCTCCTTCGCTCTTCAGTGGGGCCTTCCCAGGGGCCGAGCGCTGCAGAGCCCCGGTGCCGCCATGGCACCCACCACGCCGATGGGCAAGGAGGCACGGTGGCTGCTCCCAGGGCAAAGGGATCCACGCTCACGGCCTCCTTCCTTCAGCAGGACCACAACATGGCTTTGGGTGGTGGAAGAAATTTCTTCAGCCCAACCACCCCGTGTGGCCCAGGAGGAGCCCCATCCACGAGCCCCTAGCCTCCTCCAGACCAAATCTGGTCTTTGGAGCTCTTCCTCGCAAAAAACACCTTTGCGGTGAGGATGCACTAAGCAAAAAGCTCTAAGCAAAAAGTGCCATCTCGCAGCTGCTTCCTTGCACCGGCCCAGGGGTCCGCAGGCTGGCTAACCTCTCCTGTCATTCATGGAGAAACAATCATAGAGCAGTATAAAAGGACCACGTGGCTTCTTGTGTCCCAGTCTCGCGAAGACGTCACCGTCCCAGGAAATAAAGGAGCGGTGATGCCGGCCCACACGGAGTTGGCTGCCTGCCTGGGCAGGTCAGTCCGGTCCGTGGTGGCTGGGGCGAGACCAGGAAACAAGCAGGAGCTGGAGGGGGGTCTGATGGGGAGCTCGGCTCCCTGCCAGAGCCCACTGGCCAGCAGCTGTGTGGCCTCAGGGATCCAGCCCTGCTCCCCACCAGAGCCTGTGCCACGAGCGGGTCTCCCGCAGCTGGGGCTCCACTGCAAAGAGATGGCACTGGGCAGACTAACACCAAAGGGATGGCACCTGGAGAAGGTCCTAGGCACATCTGCCATCCCAGCTCCTTGGCACTAGGGCTGCGTGAGGCTGCTGGCACCCCAGGATGGGGTGTCTCAGCAAGCACATGGCATAAGCTAGGAAATCCTCCGGACGAGGGCAGCCAGGGCAAATGTGGGGAACGGTGTGGGATGCTTGTGGAACCCTTGCCCTGGCAGAGCTGATGGGGTTGGGGGCAGGCTGGTGCTTCTGCACCCACACACAAGGACCTGGGCTGCTGAGCGAGCCCGCCCTTGGTCCCCAGCTCAGCATGGCCCCAGGCTGTGTACAGAATGGTGGCACCGTGGTGGGACGGGAGCTTTGCACCGACCAGGGTGAATAGGCCCAGGATGGTGCTGCAGAAGCCATGGCAGGCCAGGCTAATTCCCCCTGGGAATTTGGGGAGGAGTGGGGTGTCATGGATCCCCACATACCAAGCTGGGACAGCAATGGCTCCTGCCACCCCAGGGCTCCATCTCCAAAATAATGACCCCAAAACTGGCAAGTGGCAGTGAGAGACATGTTTGGGAGAGCCAGCCCCCACAGTGCCCCTGTCACTGCTCCCCGGTTGCTACTCAAAGGACAGTAGGTCAGGATGGGGCCCCTCCACCTCCCAGCTGGGGGTACGTGGGTCTGGCTGTGCCATGATCCCCGGTGGCTCGTGCTCCAGCCCTGGTCTCCGGGGGGGCTTCTCCACGTGGGGTGAGGTCTCGGTAGCCCTCTCGCCCGCTCGCCACTGGCTCTCCAGGCTGCCCTTATGGATGAGGTCGGGCACGGGAAGGGCACCGGTGGGCTGGTCCCCACTGGGGTCTGGGATGCTGGTCATGCTGGGGACCCCAGGGCATTCTGGAGGGGACAGGTCCCTCATCCCCGGCTGCTCCTCTGCAGGGTCAGGGTGGGCTGCAGGCTGTTCGGGGAGCTCCTGCGTGCTGCTCCTCGGGCTGGTCCCCGCCGGCTGCGGCGCGATGAGCATGTCCTGCGGGGTCTTCAGGGCGCGTGGCGTCCGCTTCTTGGTAACGGGGGGCGGGGGGTCCAGCCGGGGAAAGGCATCCAGCCCCACAGCCCTGCAAGTACAGAGGAGAAGTCACATACAGCCCCATGCTGAGGCCTCTCCAGCCTGTCCCAACGGCCCTGCCGCAGGGTGCACACCGTGGAGACACTCACCCGTCCTCGCTAGCCGGCTGTCCCGTGCCCAGCATGGCCCCAGCGCTGGCGTTCACCTCCATCACTCCCACACTGGGGAGGCCGGCCGGCTCCTTGCGGCGCAGGAGGTCATTCACCTTGGCCCCCATGGCCTTGCCCAGGTTGCGGAGGTGCTGGCTGCCGGCGGGGCGGGAGGGCTGTGGCAGGGTGCCCGCCGCGGCGGGGACGTGCCGCGGCCGCGGGGTGGGTGCCGCGCTGGCGTTCTCAAACATGCTCTGGTCCACTGGAGGGGGAAAAGGGACAGAGAGGGGGATGTGAGCCGGGCTGGAGGGGGGGCCCCAGCAGGGACGGCACGTCCCAGATCCGCCCGTCAGCTCCCAACCCAGCAGCATGGGAACACAATTTGCGGGACAGGGAGGCTGCTCCTGCAGCCCCACGGAGGCTGTGGGCAGCCGGGCCATGCCAGGACTGCACAGGGCAGTGCATGCATGGGGGACAGCATGGGGTGAGACGGGGTAGCAGCGAGCCCAGGGCTCCACACTGGCACTGCCGACACACCGAGAGCATCTCTTACCTGATACCGAGTGACTTGGGAAGCAGGTTGTGGAAAGAAAGAGAGAGAAAGAGGATTTACCAAGGGAACGGCAAAGGGACAGCGGGCCCATCCCTTCCACGCTGCTGGGTGAGGTGTGCTGCTGACCCCCTGCCCAGACCTGCCACGCTGCCTGCAAAGATGGGGCTCATGTGGGGCCCTTATCAGCCAGGCACCCGCAAAGCAGCAGGGGGTTCTCTGGGGGCACCCACAGCCTGGGCTCCGCGCTGCCCACCCCACCAAGGCACCCCCTCCAGCCCAGGCTGGCTGTCCCATTGTGCTGGCCAAGCTCCCCAGAGATCACGGGGGCTGAGCCCACTGCCCAGGAGCATCCCGGCTGTGCACCGTACACGTGTGACATCATCCCTTTGTGACATCAGCTGATGACAGCATGGGTACCATGGCGCAGGAACCACACACCAGCTACACAAGGGCGATGGAGAGCTTCGTCCTGCCCACCGCTTCCATCGGGGCCGTGCCCTGCAGCACCAGGACAAGAAGCCCGGAGACCCTGCGTCCCTGTGGCCCCGCCAGCCTGCCCGGTGAGCCTGGTGCCCACCAGCTGCAGCCAGGCAGGGGCTGCAAGCAGCCGGCACTGCCTGTGGGGAGGGATCCCTCTTGCACCTCCTGGGCCCGGCCGTGGCACCGCTCAGCCTCCCGCGACACAGCGAGGGCCTGCGGGCAGACAGTTTGTGGAGGGATTTGGCAGGGCATGTCCTCCTGCGTGGGTGGGGAAAGGGGACCGGGTGGGTCTGTGGCAGCAGGCGCTTTCTGGGGACCTGGCAGGGTTCTGCAGTCACACCCCACCTCTGAGCTACACCAGCTTCTCCCCCAAGTCTTCCCAGTGGGAATCCTCAAAGCTGTGGATGCTGCCCCCAGGAGCACCAGCTCAGCCCCCCGATCGCTGCCCCCGTGCCAGTGCAGCTCTCCGTGGGATGGCTCCAGCGGGCTGCTGTGTGAGCCTTGTGCTGTGCTGATGCCTCGGTGCCCACCAGCATCCTGTGCCCATCTCTACCCCTGCGTCCTGTGGGGGGAGGGATGGTACCCTCCATGCCAGGGGGATGTACTGGGACAGAGCCAGGCACCTCTGCATCCCACAGAGACAGAGAGGAAAGGTCCCCAGCACTGCTCCCAACCCCATGGTGGGCTGGGGTCTTACAGGGACCCCTGACTCACTGCAGTCTCGCTCTTCTGCAGCTCCTGGCCCCGCAGCCCCGCCAGACAGTGAGCTCCCTGCCCGCACCTGCACCGTCTACCGGCCCTGGTTCTCGCCCTACAGCTACTTCATGTGCACCAAAGCAGCCGCCCAGCAGCACCTGGGCAGCCTCTCCTCCAGCCTGGCCTCCAGCACCCAGGAGCACGAGGAGCCTGATGACCTCTCAGAGATCATCTGCTCCTCCTCTGGTTCCTCAGATGAGCTCCAGCCCACTGAGAGGGACAGGCCGGCCAGGAGCAGAGCCAGCATCACATTCCGGGACATCCTCGCCGCTTCCCAGTGGCAGCCGGTGCCCCAGCGCGGCTACCAGTGCGTGTCGTGCTGCCGCGTCTTCCCCACGCTGTGGTCGGTCAAGGCCCACATCCAGCACAGCTCCCAGGAGGGCTACAGCTGCAAGGTGTACTACCGCAAGCTCAAGGCCCTGTGGGAGAAGGAGCACAAGGAGCAGGAGGCTGCAGCCCCCAGGGTGCCCGTGTAGCCCCACCAGCCGGACAGCCGCCGCGGGAGGGCACTGCTCCATCGCTCCTGCCAGCGGCAGAATAAATTGGTTTAGGAGCAGCCAGCCCCGTCTGCCTGCTACTCTTGCCTACGCAACACTTCTGCCATCCTTTAAGAGAGGCTCTTCCCGACTTTTCCTTCCCCAGCAGCCAAAAATCTCCCGAGCCCCTAAAAGCGCTGCTTTGCATCTCTGTGGGGAGCTCTGCAGATGCCGGGAACCCCTCGGCACCCTCGAGCTGTTGGGTCAGCCCTGAGACGAGCCTGCGCTGTGCGGTGGCTGAAGGGGAAGACTGAAACCCCTCTGCTCCCAGCAATGTTTGGGGCACCTCGCTCCCATGGGCAGCCTGTGGCTGGCACCACCAGCAAGGGTCCTGCAGGGAAGGATGCTTAGGTTGAGGGGGGTCTGTGCAAGGCCAAGGGATGCCACCGCTGGTGCTGGCTCCCAGCGTGGAGGAGGAGAGAAGTACAGAAAGAGAGAGAGTCAGCGAGAAGGAAGAGACAACAGAAAGCCTTGAGAAATAGAAAGATTTATTTAGCAAAAGCCAGTCGACTAATGACAACACCCAAGGGTTAAGTGCACTTACATTGACAGATTGGTTTCCCAGATAGATTGAGTCAACGGTTAGTAACACGACAGTTGTAGGAAAAGAAAGGACAAAAAATATAGCTATAAATCCCCGGTCAAGGTCCATAACAAAAGTAAGAGGCTAGAGAGGCGTCTTGGAGGCAGCACTGAGTTAAGAGGAGGATCATTTACACATGTACACCCACGGTGCGGCAGGACACTGGCAGGTTCTGAGCCAGCTCCGGCAGCACCCCCCAGCCCATGGGGCACCCCCCACTGCCCCTGTAGGCAGAGCGCCGGGCAGGAGCCCAAGCCCACAGCTGGTCCCAACAGCAACTCGTGGGGCACTGCCTCGGCTGCGCGTGTGCAGCGGGGACGGGCAGGAACGGTGGCGTGGGGAGATGGCTCAGCCCTGCCTGCTTTCTGAGGCAGCCCAGCCTGGAAGAGACCTCCTGCCTGCTGCTGCTCCTCCCGGGCTCTCTCTTCATCTTCCCTGTGTGTATGGCCAAGCTCCTGCTGTCCCCTCTCCTGCACGATCTGTCTGCCCACATGGAAATCCCTCTCTGAGCTCACCCACGCATCCCTACCCTGCCTGCACCACGTCCTGTGCGTGCTGCCATCTCCACCTCTCCCTCCTGGCAGGACCAGCCTCCCACCACATGCTTTAACCTCCAACTGCTTCAAGCTGACAGTGGGATGTCGGGGTCCCCAGCAGAGGGACTGGCACACAGCTGTGCCTACAGCAGTGCGGGACAGGGCATACGGAGGTATTGGTGGCCAGAGGACAGGAGCACCCGTGTCCCAAATGGCTCCCACTTTGGCCCCTCTGTGGCTGGTGCAGGGGCTCCCCTGAACACCAGGCCACTGCTGGGGACACTGAAACGTGTCCTTCCTTCCCACTAGGACTCTTTAGCTCCTCACAGTGTTGAGCCTCCTCCTGTAGTGGAGAGTGCATAGCACAGCTCGTACTGACCCCAGGGGTCTCACCCACACCTCGCTCCTCAGCAGCCTTCAGTCCCAAAGGGACTGGGGCAGAAAGAGGTGATGGACCTTCCTCAGAAGCCGAGCTAAGCCCTGGAGGAGGGCAAGAGCTTGTGTCTGGGAGATGCTCAGCTAGGGGTTAGTTGCAGGCAGATCTAGCAGAGACAGAGCTGGCGAAGGCGAGAGCAGCAGGGAAGCAACAAAGCAAAGCAGAAGCAGGACAGGAGGGTGGATGGGGAGGAAGACAACTGTGCCAATCCCCACCTCGTTGAGTGTTTCCTCAAGGAGCAGGGGGGACATCAGGACTCTGGTTCATACCCCTTCAGCCATGGCCTCTTAGAGGCTGCAGCAACAGGCAGCTGATAAATGTGCTTGCAGAAAAGAAACAAGCTCTGGATCCCTTGGAGGCCCCCAGACGGCTCTCAGCCATGGGTGTCTTGGGGTCTGGTGGGGGATCCTGAGATCTTGGATTCACTTTTCTGGAGGGGGCAAACCAGAGACGTGAAGGACCCCCCCTGCAGACACCAGCACTTCACTCCCCATCGAGGGGCAGCAAGCATGCCCATCCCTGCACACGGCCGATGCCAGCACTGCATCCCCCAGCCCTGGTCCGGAGGCAAACCACTGCGTGGAAACGGGAGGGCTTGTCTGTAAAGCAAAGCAGGGAGTTTGTGGTGATGAGGGGTGCGGGGAAGTGCTTGAAAACATGACTTGAGAGCACCAGAAAGGCTTTGAAACCTGGCAGCCATGCCAAGGAGCCCAAGGACTGGACAACGAGGGGAAGGACACTCCACAGCCCCACGCTGCGTGCCCTGGCTCCCTGCTCCGTGCCGAGCCATGCCTTCCTCTCCGCTCCACAGCCCAGGAGAGGAGCAGGCAGTGCCCGCACGCCCTCCACCTGCCTCAGGCAGGGACAAACCCTGCCAGGAGCTGCCTGCACCCGGCCACCCTGCACAACCTCATCTCACCCCTTCAGCTCCTTCCCAGGCTCATCCCCACTGTCTCCCTCTGCCTCACCTCTCACTTGCGCACCCACACTGACAGTACTCGCGCACCCACACCGACAGTACACCATCACCGACCCTAACCACCCCGCTAGCACGGCCCTGGACGTATCTCCGACCCTCTCCACCACGCAGAGGGCCAGACCCCCTGCCAGCGGCTCTGTCCCTGCTCACCGCCCCGGCGCTGCCTCCTCGGTCCCTCTTGTCCCCACTCACTGCCCTGTGCCTGCTCTCTCATTCCCCCAGCAAAAACCTTCATCTGCTTTACTGCACCACCAGCAGCGGCTAATCCGGCAGGGAGTCCTTTGCTTCTGCCTGACCTTGAAACGCAGCTTGCAGGGGGACGGGGACCAGGGGGTAGCTGTCAGCTCACTGTCCGATGCAAAGCGGGGATGCTCCAGCTCAGCGCACAAGCCCACGCACGCTGGAGCACAGCACGCCTGGCGCACCGCAGCCCCTCGGCACGGCTCCGTCCTCACCTCCGCACGCCTCCCGGACATGTTCTGGAAGCCTCGCGCTCCCTCCTCCGCCCCCCTCTCCCTCCGGGCCATCCCGTCCCTGCCAGGGCCAGGGGGCTACGGTCAGGGTCCACCCCAGCTCCGGCAGGTCCCAGCAGCTCCGCACCACCTCCTGACGACCCCTACACCGCAATTTCGTCCTCCAGGCTGTCGCCCAGGTCCTGCCTGGGCTGGACGTGGAGCAGGCGCGGCGGTTCCTCCTGGGACCAGGAGTCGCGCTCCTCGCTCTCGTCCGTGTTGGACTCGTACTCGGAGGCAATGCCCGACTCGCGGAACTTGATGAGCTCCAGGCTGCCCAGCGCTGGCTCCGGAGCGGGTGGCCCTGAGCCCGGCCGAAAGCGGTAGCACTCCAGCTTCACCAGACAGTCGTTCCTACCTATGGGGCTGCCCATGGAGCTGGGGAAGCCCGAGCCGGGGCCCAGCGGCGGCGGGTGGGTGTCCTCGGGCTGCGGGGTGGTTGGGTCGCAGAGGACGGGGAGGACGTTGGAGCGGAAGGTGATCTCCAGCAGACTGTCCTGGGAGCCTGCTGCAAGAGAAGGGCACGGCTGAGAGACAGGCAGTGCCACCCTGGCTTGCCTGGGCATCCCCCGACCACCACAGCTGGCTGCAGACTGGCCAGAGGAGGACAGTCTGGGGCCGTTCGGGTGTCAACCTCCCCACTGCCACCGTTTGGGGGGGGGCTCATTTGGTGTCACTGGTGCCAGGAGCTGCTGCTGGCCAACAAAGAGCCAGTTTTGTAGGATAAAAAGTTATCTGTCTCCTACCCCAGCTCCTCCAGGGAGCTGATGGCCACGTCTGCTGGAGAGGAAGGTCAAGGAAGGGCTCTCGGGCAGGTAAGGAGCTGGCCTAGAGCATGCAGCCACTGGGGAAAGCGGACATACAGCTGATGGACGTATGGGACTACCTGTCTATACAGCCCTCCCCATGCCCCTTCCCACGCTGCATGCAAGCACCCTGCTGCACACGCACAAGCCAGGCCAGAAGGGCGCTAATATTCCCCTACGCAAAACCACTGGAGATGCACAAAAACCCCAAGAGAAACACCCACACTCATGTCCTCCACAGACCCGGCTAGCTGCGAGGGGAGAGGAAGGGGCAGGAGCGCTTACTGGTGGTGTTCCCTGCCAGCTTCAGCTCCAGCTCCTGCACCTGCTTGACCAGGAGCGAGATGTGCTGCAGCAAGTCCTTGTTCTGGAGCAGGAGCTGGTGCACGCGAGCCTGGGCCTCCAGCCGTGCCGCCGCCTCCGCGGCCAGCTGGTCCTTCAGCAAGTGGACCTGTGTGACAGGAGAGAGCGGGTGAGCGTGCGGGAGGTACTGCTCGAGGGCCGAGAGCTTCGACTCCGGCCACCCCTGCCCGTCTACCAGGGCTCGCCAGCATCCCACCAAACGGTTCGATGAAGAAGCCATTCCGTGCGGGTACCCGCAGATGCGGTGGGGAGAGCAGGGGCAGGCGGCAGCGTCACACCAGGGCACGCTCAGCAAATCCAGCACACGGTCACCTGGCCTCTCTGATGGAAAAGCCCGAAGGCAAAGGGAGGCGGCACTGACGGAACCATCGGTCACGCGCGCGCGTCGTGAATGCATGATGAAAGGGCAGCTCAGGAGGAAGCCGGATGGATACGGAAGAGAAGACAGGCTCAACCGACTGGACAGGGCTGCGGGTGCATGAAGGCTGCGAGCCGGCCCTGGCCGAGCTGTCTTTCTGGGCAGGTTTCCCAGAGGCAGGGTCCTGCCAGCGGCGTCTGTCGCTAGCAGGGGCTTCGGCATCAGAGCTGCCCTGGAGCTGCAGGCGGCTCCGGCTGTGACAGGCACGACATGCCTGGAGCAACGCAGATGGCAGAGCGCTGCTGAGACACGGTGGCTCTGGGGACACGAGCTGGCTGCTCATTCTGGCCCTGGGAAGCGATGCCTGGACGTTAGACCGCGGGGAGTCCAGCCAGGACCCCCTGCCCAGGGGCAGCGGGGGCAGCTCTCTGATCCGAACTTGAGCAAGGAGAGCCCCAGGAGTGTACTCCGGACAAGGGGACGGCAGTGCAGAGCCACCCGGGGGTCACGCCGGCTCAGCACCCCTTCCTGCCACCCACCCACGGCTCTACAAGCGCTCATCTCTCCAGCAAGGACTGAGCCAGCCAGGCTCGTGCGGAACCAGGAAAGCACGGGTTTAAAAACAAACAAACAAAAAACCAAAACACACAACCCCCCCCCAATTTTACCCTGGCCTAGAAAGCGACCTTGGGGAAGCGGGGGGGAGCTCTCTGTACCTGCCAAAGCTGTGAGCTGCTGCTGCGGCTGCAGGGCCCCAAAAGCAGCACAGCTGGGGGCCACCTGCCCTCCTGGATGGGTACATGAGCTGCCCAAATGCAGCCAGCAAGGCGGCAGGACAGTGCCCTTGGCAGAGCAGAGCTGAAGTACAGGGAGCTCGGGGGGTGGCAGGAGGCCAGGCAAGGGGCTGAGATTGGAACTGTCCATGTTAAGCCAGACCAAGGGCAAGGGGGTGCAATCCCTTATTTTCGGAGCAGGCAGCACAGAGCCCTTTTGGTTTGCCTGTGGGCCCCCAGCCAAGTGAGACACCCCACACCACAGCTGCAGGAGCCACAGTCACCTCTTCCTCCTGCCAGCGGTGGGACAGCGGGGCACAGCAGCGCGGTGGGACAGGGACCCTCTGCCAAATGCTGGTGGGTGAAGCAGAGACCCTGAGCTGAGCTGGCAGAGGTGGAATCATGTTTAAATGCTAAGCGGGTGCCAAAGCTCAGCGTTGGCAGCGTCAGCCTGGAATTGATCCTTCCTTGCAGTCAGCATCTGTCTCCATCACAGGCTCCTGCAGCTGGGGCCAGGTAGATGCTCAGGTGATGCCATGAGAAGATGCGAGCAGAGCCCAAATGTCACATCTTGCGGAGGGGCAGTGGCTCGTGCCACCAGCCCCCTGGGGACAAGACCCAGGAAGGACTCCTGGCCTTAATTCAAGAGAAGGAACTTTCACAGGTATCTGGAAATGGCTTGCAAAAGCAAGCCTCAGATCAATGAGGGAACTAAATGGTGTTTCATCCTCAGCCAAGTAATTAGAGGCCGAGATAATTACAGGATGGTCCCCGTAGCTATAGACCAAGCACAGATCCTGGTCAACACAGTGGATCTCCCAGCTTCGTTCGTAAAAATTAAGCCTGCGCCCATCACCACGTGTTCAGAGACAAATTGATTCACTACTTTCTGAGAGAAGATAACAAGTGCCATTGATAGAGGTATGGATGTAATGCATGCAGTCATCTGAAAGGCATTTGACATGACAGGGCCCTACTTTTTCATTAATAAATTACAACGATACAAAATCACCACGGCACGCATTAGAGAGCAGCTAAGTGACAGCTCCTGGGACATGAACCGCCCTGGGGTGGGCAGAGGTCCAGAGCAGGGCATCAGCCCTTTGGACAGAGGAGGATGAGGCCACTGGCTGCCATCCCAGGAGCCAGCCAAGAAATGGCATTACACTATTCTAGATTTATTTTTTACCTGGAAGTAGAAGGAAAAAGAAATTGCCACTGCAAGGCTCTGCAGGTACACAAAGACTGGGAACTACCAAAGGTGAGCAGTCCCTACCACAAAAGGACCTGGCTTTGCCTAGTAAGTTTTGCCTGTAGCAACACTATACTTGGGCAGACATAAAGGATCTCCTGAGGATGCAGGTCCCTCTTCCAGAGGGGAAAGCAACTTCCTGAACCCGTAACCCCAGAAGGCATGCAGGCTTTCAGGGCAGCAGCTTGGCCAGAAGGACCAATGCTGATTTTCTGATGCGAGAAGAGGAAAGCCACGGGAAAGCACAGAAAGGCTGCTGGAGCTGATCATTTAAGCCACGAAGAAAGTCGAGCAATTGCAGAGAGCTCTGCCAGGGGTCAGGGAACAAGTAAAGCTAAGGTAATGACTTGGATAAAACAGCCAGAGCTGCTTAAATGAGAAATACCTGCATGGAGAACGAGGTGCCAGCTGCACAGCCCAGGCAGCAGTCAGCTGGAGCTAACACTGAGGCCAGGCATTGGCAAGCAGACAGGGGCCAAAGGACCAAAAAATTGGGTGGCAAGTGGACATAAGCACCTCCTCTTCTGTGATGGGACCAGGGCAAATTGCCACTCCTCTCCCCTTGCTGCACAGCCCAGGAGATGGTCCATCCCCATCCCCTGTGCCCCAGCTTCTCCCACAACCACCATGCTCTCCCCATGGAGCCTGCCTTCAACACTGCCTCCAGGCAGGGGATACTCCGGCGGTACCGAGGGGCTCGGTAGCGTGCCCCAGCCCTGCCGCTACCCCCAGAAAAGAGCAGAGGGGAGAACCTGTGCCACGGCCACTTGTGTCTGCTGCTGCTGCTGCTGCAGGAGCTGCTGGAGAAGCTGCATTTGGTGGTGGGCAGAGAGGGGTGTTCCCAGGTCAGGCAGCTGGGCAGACGAGGGCAGCAGCATCTTGGGTGACGCTGTCAGGATATCTTCAGGGTGGAGGCAGCCCTGCAAAACACCAATGTTGAAAGAGTGATCCTGTGCCCCTCACCACGGAGAGCCGCCAGGCACACAGGGGCTGCGGCACGGAGCAGCCCCCCAAAATACCCAGGAAAGAAGCTACTGCATTCAAAGCAAATGCACACTTTGCTGGGGGTGCTGAAAACTTTGAAGGCAGTATTTTTTCAGTTCTGACAACAGCCCAAATACTTTTGTAGAAAATTCCCGAAAAGGCTGATGCTTCCCATGGGAATTTCCCCTGTATCAAAGTATTTTATTATTTTTTTTTGGCGGAAAAAAATCCCTATCAGCTCTGCCCCAGATGCTTTCCGCGTGGCTGCACATAGCTGAGCCTCGGCACAGCGCTCTCCAGGAGCGCCCCGGGCCCCGAGCCAAAGGGCAGCCCTGCAGCGGCAGATGGCTTTGATCCGGGAGCCAGGGAATGCTGCACAATCCCTCCTGATCCCCAGGCCCCCCGGATGCACATTAGAGCCACGGGGCCAGGGCCGCACCATGGCCCGAGAGCGGAGCGCAGGGACCCACGCACCTTGGCATCGGCGTAGGCGCTCGCCTCCTTGCCCACGGCGTCGAGGTCGGTCACGCCGCGGCTGAAGTCGAGGATGTCAGCGCCAGGCAGCGGCAGCTCCACGGCATCGATGTCCGTCTCCTCCGCCGAGGCGGCCGCCCTCTCCGCGCCGGTGAGGCGGCAGGCTGAGGGAGCAGGGTCAGAGCAGAGCACAGCCCAGTTGGAGCAGGAGCTCGCTATGCTCTGTGCCCATGGTATGGCGAGTGATGCCCACCGGTTGGTTCTCACTGCCCCTTATCACCCACCCTCCAGCTCTGGGGGGAAGCAGGTGCAGAGTGACAGGGCTGCGCTTCCTGCTGCTGCTCGGGATGGGGCTTGCAGCCAAAAACACACCCAGCCCCGGCACATCAAACCTGGGGAACAGCGGCCAAAAACCCTGACATGGGACAAATGGGCCTCAGAAGACACAGGGAAAGCTAAAGAAAGGTAAACAAGAGATTACGGGGAAAAAAAAAAACAACCAAAAAAAACGGATGCTCAGAAATCCCCAGGGAACCGCATATCGTGGCTGGGATATTGTGTGGAGGAAAACCAAACAATGTGCGGTCCAGGACAGCCCAACGATTAGGTCATCACGACAGCGCCGGTGGCAGAGGCAGGCAGGAAACCGCAGCACAGCCCAGGCTGCTCCCGTTGGGATGAGGGGGATCCAGCGCCCAGCACGGGGCGGCAGGGCAGGGCAGGCAGCCCACACACAGCTGGGCACCAGGACCCGCCAGCATCCTGACAGGCACAAGCATCCCTGCACCCTCCGCACACGGGGCTGAGAAGGGAGCGGAGGGTCCACAGGCTGCCTGCAGCCCCGGGAGCGCGATCCAAGATCCCGAGCACGGCTCCGCACACGCAGGGAATTGCAGAGGTGGCGATGGACCACGAGCTGGGTCCACAGCAGAGAGCCGAACCCAGCCCCGCAAGCACCTTGGGATGCAGAAAAGGTCTGTGCTTCGGGCCTTTTCTGTGGAAGCAGCAAGGAAATGTTTGCAGTGTGTGCAGCAGAGCACCGAGAGTACTTAGGCGCCCAGCAGAGTCCCGGGCGCTGCTAATAGGCTCCCAGCAAGGGGGATGTCTGCGAGGATGATGGCTAACACCTAGCGAAGGCTCCTTGCTGGGCAAGATCCCAGCTTGAGCCCAAGACACGGCAGGCCAGATTGCTGTGCAAATCCATTCCCCGCAGGTGTCAGGCAGCAAGGAGTGGTATGGGAAGACGGTGACTCTGCAGACGGCGTCTGCCAGGCTCCAGGACCCCCACGCCACCCCCGCCTCTGCCCTTGCAGAGTACCTGGGACATCCAGGTCGTCCCCGTTCCTCTCACTGTCTCCGTCCTCCTGCCCGTCCGCGTTTTGCTGGGTGTGCTGGAGGCTCAGCTTGTGGCAGACCTCAAATGCCTGCCCCACCGTCCGGACGATGCGCATGGCTTGGCTCTGCAGAGGGAGAGGGGGACCGTAACCTCAGCTGGGCTGCCTCTGCCTGGTGACCTCCCCAGCCTTGTGCAGCTTTTGGGTGTCTCTGTGTGCTGCTGCAGGGACTGAGGCACCAGAGCTCAGATCACCAGGATGCTCCGGGCCACCAGCTGCATGCAGCGCAGTGCCACGGGATCCCGCCCCAGCCACCCCAACAAGACCCTGCGATGGTGGGGTGCACGTCCCAGCATCTTTACCTTCTTCTTGGATTTGAAGACATTGCACCTGAAGACATTGCTAGACCCATCCCTGGCAATGTAGCTGAATATCTTGAGGTCCTGGGAGTCATGAGACACATAGAATATCCTGCAAAGACAGAAGGGAGGGGAGGATATCATCTACAACACACATATTACCCATGGTGCCCAGGAGACAGGCAAGGCCACAGCCAGCGCTTCCCAGGGCACGTCCCGGGGTGCTGGCAGATGCCCAGCCTCTGCAGCACGCCCCTGCTAAAGCCCATCAGAAATTTTTTTGGCAGTGGTTTTGCCTTGGCTGGGAAAATTAGCCTGCTGACTCAGCAGCAGCAAGCATTTTGCAAAGGCAGCACGGCGCTTTCTCTGCTCAGCCCCCAGGGACAGAGCTAGCGGTCCAGGAGCCCTCCAGGGACCGAGGAAAGCAAACCTCAATCTTCCTCCTTGCCTGCTCGGAGAGCTGGCCTCCTCCCCAGCATGGCTGGGGCTTTTCCTCGCTCCCATTTGGCTTCCCTGGGACACAGATGGCCCACGCTCTTAGCTTTTGCCAACGAGATAGAGAAAGAGAGCTGGGGACTTCAGGAGAGCACAGCAAGCGAGGGGAGCTGCCCTCCACGAGGATGGTGACGGCTCTCCATGGCCAGTCCCCAGCACGGTGCCAGTGTGGCATGGGGTAAACGGCATGACAGAGCCACCCAGGCCTCCATCCCCCCACCAAGCAGGCTTACCTGTAGATGGGATCGTGCATGACGAGCATTTTGTTCTCATCCCAGGCCCATTCTTTTTTCTGCAACGAAAGAAGCTGAAAATGAGTACGTCAGATGCTGCTCTTGAGATCAAGGACAGGGCAGAGACAGTCCAGGGACAGACCTGGGAAGCTCTTGTCACAGCTCTGCTGCTGCTCCCCTGCAACCCTTCACCGAGGGTCGGATCCTGCTGGGGACCAGCAATGTCCCACATCACCTCCCACGGGACCCTCCGGGCCCCTTCTATACCCGCATCAGGACTGGCTCAGCCACCCTGCGGGAACACGGCTTCACCTGGAACACAGCTGATCCCAGCCCATCCCTCCCTCTCCCAGCCCACCAGAGTTCCCCAGAAATTCAAGGATGCTGCAGGTCCCTGCGCCGCGAGGGGAGGGCTCCTGCTGCCAAGGCACCGCTGCCCCAGGGACCAGGGCTGCCTACCTTCTTCTTCTTCTTCAGAATGACCTTCACGCCATCCACTGACACGATGAGACTCACTTTCTTCTTCTTGATATTCTTGGCTTTAAACTCATACTGCAGGGGATGGAAGAAAACACCTGAATTAGCCTTCCTGCACGGGGAAAGCCCCAGGGAGGGCTGAACAGACTCCGAAGGGAAGGGACGAGAGGGACAGGGAAAGGTTTCCTCGACCCCACATGCCTCCCTGAGCACATGCCCACATCAGCCTGCGCATCCATGCTAGGACAGGACAGGGGGACGTTTTGCCCTGCAGTGTCCCCGTGCTCAGCATCTGGAGGAGCACGCCCCAAAGCAACCCAGCCCCTGGCTCTGGATAATGCTTTGCTCAGCCCAGGATGCTGCTGGAAATGTTAACCTGTGTTTCAAAGGCACTTGCTCTGCCCCTCCGAAGGGTTGTATACCTCCCCAGAGAAGGACCACCACTTCCCCAGCCCTGCCAGCCCCTGGGGCTCCGTAGCCCAGCCAGGTTTGCCCTGCTGGCTTGTGGCCATTGCTGAGCTTTGGTGAGGAAAATGGCATTTCAAGGGGGTTTTTCAGGGGGTTCAGTGTAAAGCTGAAGATGATTACCGAGGACTCTGTGAACCTCTCCAGGGGGGATGGGATAATGCAATTACCCACTTCAATTAGAAGTCACTGGACAGGAAAAAAAAACAACAGGAACTTCCAAAGATCAGTGACTAAACACAAAGCTCTGGTCTGGCCCGGGGAAAGAATAAGGTCCCCTAAAATCCAGCCACTTTTGCATCTAAAGTCTTACAAGCAGGGAGGGGGCTGGCAGCGGAATAGACCATTTAGGCTGAGCAACCTCCTGCTGTGGTACTTTTGGGGAGTCCCATAACCAGTCTACCACGGGTGCACCCACATCAGGTACCCTGTGTGCTGGTCCCACACGCAGGGTGCTGTGCACAGCAGTGTGGAGGGATCCTCTGCGCCTGCCCAGCGGCAGAAAAGCCCTGCATCCTGCATCTCACATGCTTGAGGAAGAGGAATTTAATTTATCCTCTCGTTATTTCGCCAGTCTCTCTGCAGAGGGAACACAGGGCAGGCGCCCCGATGCAAAGCCCTGCCTCCAGTCCGCGCCGAGCCTTGGTGTGACATTTCCAGCACTGCATGATGTATTAACTTTGGCAGCCGGAGCCAGCAGGCAGGAAAAGCTGCTGGCCCTGACCTGTGATCGCATGATAAAAGACCTGAAAATAAAATTCCTCAAAGCCATTTTAAAGTCGCCAACAGGGATGGGAGATACAGATGACTCGGAAAACAGTGGGGGTGGAACATAGCTCTGCCCTCCCCAGTACACAGACCAGGCGAGCTGTGCAAGCCCACCTGCTCCAGGGCTGAAGCCACGGTGATGGGCTGAAGGAAGCAGAGCTCAGGCTCCCATCATGGCTACAGTCAGCCTCAAAATCCCCAGCACATACCCATATGCTGCTTACAGGGCTTATTCCTCATGGAGAAGGGTCTCACCAGAGTCCCCCACCAAAGAGCCCACCAGCGTGGGTTTCCAAGTCCCATCTCTCATATTCCCCTTCCCCATCATTACAAGCAGAGGTGAAACTGCATCCAAGAGCCCCTTCTCTGTGCCTTGCTAAGACACCAGACCAGTACTGAGATGACAGCAGCGTGCCTGGTACCCAACACTAAAGAAACATCTTGATTTAGCCCTGAAAAGGTGAGCACCAGCCTGGCTACCTTGGAGTAATTAATGCAGCACCTTCTGAAGCTCCGCATGCGATTTTTCCAGGAGCTGCGGGCTGAGCTGGATGCTCTCAGTGGCCAGAGCGACTGCACGGCACCTTGTGGAGCTGCAGCCTGATTTATTGGTCCTAACAATCATTGATTATAAAGGTTGCAATTCCGAGCTGCTGGAGCCATGGGGGTTTCTATTCTGGGCCATCCCAAGTGCTAATTAATGTGGGCTTGGAAGAGACAGCAACCCTGAAAAATATCTCAGGGTTAGAGAGACTATTTTTAGCCTGGGTTTTGGGTGAGTAACAGCCCCAGGACAGTAATGCAGACAGGCCAGGCTGTTTCAGCAAAGATGCTACCCAGCCCCAGCATATGTTTCGGGGACAGAATCAATGCAGAGCTCCTTGGAGAAGCTTCTGCAGTCCCTGGCTGCAGCCAAGGGATTCTGCCTGGGCAGAGGGGAGTGCCATGGGGAAAGCTGTTTGCCACGCTGAAGCCAAAGTCCCCTTGTGCTGATGGCTCACGGCAAAACTCCAGCAAGAGCCGACGGGAGTAGAGAAGTCAAATTCTCAGAAAGGCCAACCAGCCAGATTTGTTAAGCTCTTGCATAAATCCAGGCCTTTATCCTGACGCTGAGGTGAGAGCCAAGCTCCTTTGCAAGTCCGAGCCATGCGCTTAGAGAGCTGTTACACACCCTGCCCCAACCAGAGCTCATTAGCACAATCACTCCAACGAGCGCAGACGCTCTTTGGGATACATTTCCCGTGCAACAAAGTGCAGCTCTAGCCAATAAAAAGCTAATGAACTCATGCCCACTGGGGCTTTAACGAAACACTAACCATAATTTAATAACTAATTAGCGAGGAAGAGGATTCAATAAAATGGCAATTCAGTCGAGCCGCTTCTTGCATCCCTGGGCTGCGTGGGGCAGGCATGCCGAGTCCCTCAGGCCAGAAGATGCATTGCTGATTTTCCCAGACTTTCAAATTTGAGTTTGGGCAAATAGGTGCAAGAAGGGAGGAAAAGCACCCAGGAGAAGAAGGCAGCAGACCAAACCGAGAGGGAGCACGTACTGCTCTGCAGAGCCCAGCACACCATCTGTGTGCTGCTACCCCCCTGCTTACAGCCACAGCGTGCAATTTGCTCTGCCTTGTTCACAAGACTAATTCAGCAAACCAGAGGGATTTCACCCCAAGCAGCAGGTCTGGCTAGGGTCAAAGGGAACATGAGGTTTGCGCAGTTCCTCTAAGTAAGATTTGACCCACAGAGACTGTAAGGGATGAACCCAAAAACGTGCAGGGCAGAATCTGTGCTCAGACCTGCCGGCTCACGGTGCAGCAGTTCACATCAGCAGTGACAGCAGCTGCCATGACCAGCCCCGCTCAGCGCCCTGCGTGCCGGAATGCTGCTCGCTGGCTACAGCAGGAGAAAGGCACGTCTCACCACGAGTCCTTGCACTCCCCCAGCAAGTCCCTGCAGCTCCTGGGAAGGCAGTGGCTGATGGTCGCCGTCTGCCCAAGGCACCAGCCCAGGAGCAGTACTCGGGGCTGGACTGGGTGCCCTGCGAGCACCCTGGCTCTCCCCAGCCTGGGAGGGGTATCTGGCCTTCTCCTTCCTCCTTGGACCTCTCCCAAGCAATGGCCAATCCTTTCCATTAGCAGACTACAGATGCCGGTATGGGTTTTTTGTTCCCAAAGACTGCTGGACATCTCAGGTGGTCTCACTGATGTGCTGCATGTCGACAGGACCTGCCCTTGCAAATACCTGCCCTGCAAGCCTGTTTACTAACTGGGCGATGGGAAAACTCTCTCCATGCGACCAACTGGGACCTCCCTGGCTTGGAGCTACTCTTGACCACAGCTCTGCCAGCCCTGGGCATGGAGATCTGCTGGGTCTGACCACACTTGTCAACATCCCTCCTTCTGCTGTGGAACGGAGAGAGAAAGCGTAAGAGAGATGCAAAGCATTAGGGTTTTAGCTTTCCCTGTTGCTGGGAGGAGAGCAAACGTGATGGTGGGGTGGGAAATGCCAACAAAGGGACTCTGAGACTGTGTGCACAGCCAGAACAACTGCCGCTGCATCCAAAACCCGTGGGCACCAGCTGACCCAGAGAAGAAGAAAACCTGCACGTTTCCAGGGACGTTGGACCAATGCCATATAACCCTTGGTGGGAACACATTCTGCATCCCCAAAGGTGCACTAAAAATCACATCATCGCTGCTAACAAGCTTCTCACCGAGCCGATACAAAACCGCAAAACAAAACACCAAAGCAAAAGGGGGGGTTCTCAAGGCCACCAGTGTGGGACCCGCTCTGCTGCCAGGAGGGGACGGGGATGCTCAGGGGATGCTTTGCTATGCATTGCAACAGGAGCAGTAGGAAAGCCTCTGGGACCGGGTGCAGGGAGCTGGGTGACGGCAATTCACCCCACGCTCTGATATTCGGAGACTATTCAGGAGAAAAAACACATCTCCCTCCGTGGAGGGAACCAGGATGATAAGCTCAGCTACCGATGGCTCCAGCTTGGACTGCTGAATCCCAGCCTACTGTTTAATAAAGAAATGATACAGAAATCATTATCCAGCTTGGGATCAAGGAAGGAAGGAGGATTTGTGCAATTTCCCCACAATCCCCTTTGTTTCACACCACGTAGCGTTTCGCTGTATTACTTGTAACTAACTAAATGGTGTGATGGTCAGAAGAGCTTCCTTGGCCTTCAACCCAGATAATCTGCCCACCTTGGGCATGATTCTGGATATTTAAATATCTGTAATAATACTCCAAGTTTGGGTTAATTATGTTAATTATTGGCTATAGAAATGTGGCAATCCCAGAAGATAGATAAGAAATTATTTCAGGGAAAGGGAAACAGAAAATGGAAAGAGCAACAGAGAAACCCGTCTGTTCCTGGACTTGCACAGCTCCACAGTCGGTCTCCAACTGAAGCTCTAAGCACTCTATTAAAATTTTTAAGCAAAGATTGAAAATGAACATTTCAGATATGCCAAAGTTTAAAAGTATTCAAGAAAAAAAAAGTAAAGATGGTCTTACTAAAGAAAAAGAAGTATTAGATCACTTGTAAACTCCAGCTAATTAGTGAATAAAGATTCTCCCTTAATTTTACACTGCCCACAAAAAAACATGTTCATCATCCCAATTAGAAAAGAAACATCTATTTTGTCAGAGCACGAGGGCCTTACCATTGACCTCAGGTTAGTGGGAGTCTATTTTCAACATCTGTCTTTTCTGCAGAGTTCACTATTTAAATAACTTCAGATGGAAAATAATGCCAGCTGGTGTATGCACCATTGCGCAACACATTCCGACTGGCAGAGTATTAAAATTGCCCTTTCTGGAGAACGGAG